TGGCTAACTGGAACATCTAGCTCCCAACAATCCCTTCGGTTTCTAGTTGCACATCCATTTCCGTCCTTGATGGACTCATCTTCCGGATTGGAGCGAGCGAATCAACTGGCCGTATTTTTCCCTTTTCTGGACACACCCTGCATAGCATAGGTGCCATGTGTGTTTCCCACCGTCATACCAGTGTACGTGCATAGATGTACTTAATACTACTTCTTTCACCTTACTTTTGGCATCAATGTGAGGCTCGTGATGATTCAAGCCATTGCTCTAGTAACTTTGGCTGTGAAGAGTATGACAAAGTCAAGCAGGAGACAGGAGGCACGTAAGCGTTATTGAAGATGAGACAGAACAGGGCCGCGTCTCTCAAGCTGGCGCGTCTTATCAGCGCAAGTCAAACGAAATACCGATCTATATGTTATGTAAAACAGTAAGCAGTAAACCACCTGCCACCCACGTTCAAAGATTGGGCAACATCCTATCATGTATTTGTACAGTTCCTCGCTCCGCCCAGGGCCGTTATCATCCAGCTTTCCCACACAAAACGCTGTCAAAGCTGGGAAGCACTCTTCGGCACACGACTACGTGCAAATCGCCCGCTCCTTTCCCTTGGAATTGCTCTATGCCTTGCGCCGACGGGCTTGAGTTGTGGGAGATGCCGCTGTGGCCTTGGCAGTAGAGGGCTCGATCGTAGCTTGCTTGTCTGTTGACTTTGCCGGCTGGAACCTCTTCCGAACCGCACGAATCATCATGATGAACCAGTAGAAGTTCAAGCTATTGAGAGTTATATTGCTCATCAGGTACGTCACGGCTAGCCAAGTTGGCACCGTTGATGACGCCGTTGCAAATCTCATAACACCAGTCGGAGCGAGCACTGCGCCTGTTTCCGGGGAAATCTCTTTCGGCAGGACGGGGTGGGCGTTGATTGCAGCGTAGATGTCTGAAAAGACTTTGACAGACTGATAAGTTCCGTATATGAGGCGGCAGGAGAAGAAAGTGAACAAGAGCATGAGGCCGTTGTAGAGTTGCGCGCGAGACCCGGTCATTCCCAGCTTGTCAAAGAACCAGTGAATGTTGAGGAAGGGTGTGGACAGCTCCCAAAGGATGAAGATGCAGCCGTAGTAGTTTAGGAAGGGTCGCTGATTCATTGATAGAGGTTAGCGGAAAAGACATGAATATAGAGCACTTCGTCAGAGGCAGACTTACGAATCCAAGAGAGAAGACAAAGAGGGCGCTGATAGCATGAGCCAAGGTGCCGAGTCCAAAGACATCCATATTGAGACTCGTGACAACCAAGTCCCATAGGAAATAGCCAGCGGCAAGGCCCTGGATCATACCGGCAGCACCTGTATATCCCCACATGCGAGCTTGCCAATCCATCGTGCTGCGCTCTTCGTCAACGAACATGACCCAGAGGGCCAAGCCGTTGATGAGAAGACTCTGGACAAGAGAGACGACATGGGCATCCCAGTTTATGCGTCTCTTGCGGGGTAAATCGAGGTATTTGCGGCCGACTATCAAGCGCGACAGTAACGGAGACACAGGGTAGTAGATAACCGAGTAGAGGAGGGCTGAGGCGAGGACCTCGTGAACGTGGATCGGCAGTGTCGGCAGCGAGAAGTAGTCAGCAAAGGGCTGAGTCGCCTTGACGAGCCATGGCAGTGGCTCGAGAAAGAAAGGATCTTTCATTCTCTGTGTTGTACCTCGACTCGAGCTCAATTGTGCGCTTCTGCTGGGGAGGGTCTTGGAAGCTGCTTCGGTTCGGGAGTACCAGGAGACGGTAGTACGCTGGGGAGACAGTCGAAGGTGAGCTGCGCGGCTTGATTGCGGCGCTGGGTGTTGGGGATGTTTTCCTTTTCAAAGTATTCTTCGACAGGAGAGTTCTGTCACCAGATCGATCCGTCAGTCTATCAGATGCTTGAGGTGAACGAGACAAGAGAAACAAACGTGAGCAGTGAGTAAGTGGTTCAAGGTCTCGTGTGGTTATGAGGCAGGCGAGGCAAAGCAGGGGTCGGCGCGCGGGGAGCTGACGGATTGTTGGGGGAAGCTAAGCTTGATGGAGGAGGACCCTTGAAGACTTGTAGCACCTGGCCGCCCGCCAGCTGTGTCGTGACCTTAGGAGGTACCCTAAGTCGAGCACTGGGCACAGAGGTGGGGGCGGCCGTGAGCATAAGTTCACAGACAAGATATGTTTCTCGGGCAGTTGTTTTCAAGGCCGTTTCCGCCTGCAACCTGAACTTTGTTTTTCGTTATCTACCTTACTTATTGTCACTAAATGGCTGCATGTCAGCTGCACTGTGGTCGGGGGTCGTGGGATGCTAGGGCCAGAACTAGCTGTCCGTCTCATGATGGCATCACACGCCTAGCGCAGTGGACTTGACTGAGGCAGTGCTGTGATGTGAACTGGAACAGAATACGTAGTAAGATATGAGGGGGGGGGGGGCTGGCCCCAATTCCAAACCTTTATTGCTTGGGGAACTATGGGAACTGCAATATTGAATACTGAATAATCAGTAGCGCCTCGGAGGCTCAAACATTCCCCTGCTCACGGCCATTCGTGCTGTGCATTTGTGTCTGGTCTGTATTGCTACCTTGGCGATTTCCCCCATAGCAAGATAGGTACCTAGACTTGGGGGAGGCCAGGTGAGACCAACAACATGCCCGGCTTAAGCCTTCGCTTTAAGTCATTTTCTGCTTAATTCATCGGCATAGCTTGTAGTGACAGGGTGCAAGCTAAAGTTAAAGGTAAGGTAGTGAGGTAGGTGCACACCGAAGGGCACCTGTCGGTATGCACCTGTCGGTATGCACCTACCAAGCTACCTTCCTAGGTACCTTAGCCTGCTGGCGCCACCCAACTTGCTCCTGCCCCAGAGTGACAGAGAACCCCTTGCTCTATCCAATGACACCTACCTACCTACTGCCCAAGGTAGTTATCAACGGCAAGTTTTCAATGTGAACATCTCGCCAATATGGCCGACGTTCTCCTTGATCTGCTCGATGCTCGGCAGTCTACGAGCCCTGATGCCGACGTCAACACTCTATTCAACCCGACAACAAGGGCAACCAAGCTCGCATATCTGTCCCATCTCGCCGATCAGAGTCCGGAAGCACTAGCCTCGACTGAGCCTCAATCCCTGGCCCAGACATCACATTCACTTCTCCTCTCGCTCCAAGGCGTCTCAAAGCGCTCTCACAAATCCATCATCGATTCGGCTTCAAATCACACTGGCCTGACCCACGCATTGCCTACTCTTGTCGCCGACACGGCAGACCTTCGCAATGCCATTCCCAAGCTCGAATCAGAGGCCCTGCGCTTTTCCACCACCTACAGTAAATCCAGGGACAATGAGGACCTGGCCGAAAGGAAACGCGCCTTACTACTCCTTCGCAATGTCGAACGTCTCGTCGACGTGCTAGAACTGCCTACCCTCCTCTCTTCCGCTATCAACACCGTTCCCGCGAATTACGCGTCCGCCCTCGATCTCAATGCCCACATTCGGAGACTCCATGGCTTGTATTCATCTTCGCCGCTGGTCGACCTCGTTTCTCACCAAGCTGACGAGGCCATCGTGAAAATGACGGCCGATCTCATCGCTGCCCTCAAATCCCCTGGACTCAAGCTGGCCGCATCACTGCGGACGATCAGCTGGCTCAGAAGAGTAGTTCCGGACATGTCTTCAATGAGCTCCACGAACCGCGGTTCTCAGGAACACACCCTCTCGCTACTTTTTCTCTGCTGCCGCGTTGCCACCTTGGATGCTACTTTGGGGGCTTTACAACCCCTTCGTGAGCTAGCTGATGACGAGAGGCAGAGGCAACAGAGCGCCAATCACCAGTCCTGGTCAGGCGGGCAGCAGACAGAGAAGTATCTCAAACGCTATGTCGAGATCTTCCGTGAGCAAAGCTTCAGCGTTGTCTCCATGTTCAAGAGCATATTTCCCGGCACTGGGTATCAGACTGGAACTACTAACGACGACGAGAATCCTTTCAAACCCATGCCATCAACACTATCGACATTCCCGCTTCATCTTGTGGAGATGCTCCTCGAAACGTTGACAAAATACCTTCCGGTTGTGAAAGACCAAGCAGCAAGGGATAGTATTCTCACTCAGGTTTTGTACTGTTCAGGAAGTTTGGGTAGGCTTGGAGGTGATTTTGGGATGCTGTTGGCAACCTTGGGGGGCGAACACGAAGAAACGAAACAGACTGAATGGGTTGACATTGTCAAGAGGCACCGGTTACTGTCTGGGCGCCTTGAATCGGTTATCGGTGACTTCAAGGCGACAGGGGCCAAAGAGGCATAGGTCCTAAGTTGTTGCGAGTCGAGGTAACGCACTCGGGGCATGTTCAAAGGAGGATGACTACAAATACGGAAGGCAAGGTGGAATGCGAGTCTACAGAGCGGCAGCTCATCTCCACCTTATGAAAGGGAGGTTCGACGGCATGTTAGCTATCGCAAGCAGCTGGCATTATGTTTCTCGCTGCGCTCGAACAGCACTCAGCCGGCACGCGAGAGCATCATATTTTCGAGGAGCTGACCGGGTACAACCAGAGGTTTATGTTTCTCCAACGTTGTGTAAGCAAACGTTGAAAATCGGACCAGGAACGCCGGGCCTGCCGGAGGACTATGTGATCGGAAAGACCCGGTCGGACCCTTAGGCTTCTTATGTATATAACCGTCATTATACCGACTACGGCCCCCCGATCTTCTGCTGAGCGTTGCCCGATACGGCTAGCGAGTCAGATGCACCGACCTGCCTTGACGGGCCTTACCTTTCCTCAACTAAGCTACCTCATGTGCTTATGTAGATATCTATCTACCCTGCCAGCCGGATTTGAAAAGTCATCACAACTTATGATCATCTCTCCCTTCTCATTCTGCCTTGAACCCCATCACATCTTCTTAACCAATCTGTACATTTAAGGACGTCTTTGATTGGTGACGCAATGGCATTCGCTTGTACCACTTATTTTCACACATAAAACAAACTCGCCACCGCATCACCCGGTATTGCACCGCAATTCCCCTAGTATCATCTCCCCGTCTAAAAGATACGACACCAGCTCTCTCAGAAAGTCTCCATGTCTCAACAGGTGACTCCGGGCCGCACAAAATCATGTAAGAAAAGGGCAAACATACTCATTCATTTATCACCCTTTGGTCATACGCATGAATCCCTGCGAGCTGCCCCTTTGAAACTCTTCTCTATACTCACCTGTGATCAAGGCTGCGCTGACCTGCCCCTCTCCTCTCACAGCTCGGCATTTCGTTGCTGGACTGGGTTCCGGCGTTGCATCGGCGGTGCTGCTGCAACCGCTTGACCTACTCAAGACTCGTGTTCAACAATCTGGCCACCGGTCACTGACGTCGTATCTCAGGGAGGTTGCCGCTGCCCCCAACAAGATCCAGACGCTCTGGCGCGGCACAATCCCGTCAGCCCTTAGGACCGGCTTCGGTTCGGCCCTCTACTTCACATCCCTCAACTCCATCCGCCAACATGTGGCCCAGTCGCGCTTATTGAGCCAAGCCGCCGGCAACAGGGCAGCACACTCGTCCTCACTACCGACGCTAACCCCATCGGCTAACCTGGTCGCTGGCGCCGTCGCCAGGACGTTTGCCGGCTTTGTCCTCATGCCGTTGACCGTCATCAAGGTTCGATATGAATCCAATTTGTATTCCTACAAATCCCTGCTCGGCGCATCTTCCGACATCTACAGGACGAATGGCCCGCGAGGCTTCTTTGCTGGCTTCGGTGCTACCGCCGTCCGTGATGCACCGTACGCGGGCATGTATGTATTGTTCTACGAGCTGCTCAAGAAGCAGCTCAGCAGTCTGTCTACTCGAAAAGACGGCCAAAACTCGAATCGCCCCGTCGCCATTACAACATCACATGCAACGCTTGTCAATTTCAGCTCTGCCGTCATGGCGGGTGGAGCGTGCTCCGTTATCTCAAATCCTTTTGATGCTATCAAAACTAGGATTCAACTGCAGCCGGCTGTTTACAGGAACATGTACCAGGCTTGCCACAAGATGATTTTGGAAGAAGGCGTTCGGTCACTTATGGATGGTGTCGCGCTCCGCATGAGCAGAAAAGCAATGAGTTCAGCCTTGGCCTGGACTGTGTACGAAGAACTGATGAGAAGAGCTGAACGTACTTGGTCCTCAAACTTGACGACGACAACGACAGCGGAGCCGTAGCGATTACGCACTCCAACATACAATCCCACCTTGTTCCACTGAAAGAAGCCCAACGTCCCGCAAAGACGACTTGTACTAGTAGCTAATGGTATATATCCCTTCGGAAAAACAAATAACCTGAGCAGCCCTGTTGGAGTGTTGTGGGCATCTACGATATCTTGTGTGTGGCCTCCCCTTGAAGGTTTCCAGCTACATGTGTGGTGTAAACAAGCGATGTTGTCCCAGACACAAATACCATCGTCACTTTTGATGCGATAAGAAGGTTGGCGTACTCGGTCCCGATGCCGACCAGAATGTCGCTTGGTCCACCCCCCCCCCCTCAAATCATGCCGGTTTCGCTCCCGCAAGGTACATGAGGAGCGCGGGCGACTTGCTTCTCTTCCGGTCACTCTTCTTTCTGACCCATTCGAACTCTGGTTCGTGGCGGTGCGACTTCTTGTCTTCGATCTCAAGTACGAGCTTGGATGAGCGCTTCTCGCGAATCGACCTGGTGTGTCTCCAAAGGGTGTCTTGCTCCCATTCCGGCACCCATCGTCTGATGAGCACGTATTCAGGATCCTGAGATAAGTCAGCAGATGCAACAGGAGTCAGTCACCTTCTGAATATGCTTACAACGTCCATTTCCCACTCGACCTGATATGTTCTCAAGGTTTCAATCGAAAGATGCTTTCGTGCCATACGCGTGTAGGTTGGGCGATTCCCAGCAACGAGCGCATTGTCATGCTGAACTGGTCTTTGTCTCGGTGGCTCCGGAATCTTCTCCTTCTTGAGGATGGCAGCAATAGCCTTGTCGTCAAGACCTGATTTACGTAGGTCCTCTTGGAGACGTCTCTGGTACTCCTTCTCGCGCTCCTCCTTCTCCTTCTTTTCCTTGGCCAGCTTGTCCAGCTCCTTTTGACGCTCTTCCTTGAGCCTTTGCTGAAATTCCTTTTCACGCTGCTCCTTTTCCTTCTTCTCTTGCGCAAGTCGATCTGCCTCCTTTCTCTTGTAGCGCTCTACGGCATCAGCAGCTTCCTTTTCTCGCTTCTTGGATAAGTCTGCCTTCCGCATGTCCTCTTGGTACTTTTCCAATTCGATCTTGGTCTTGAAGCGCTGTTCTTCAGCAGCGCGAGCCTCACGGTTTCGGATATCTTCGAGATCGCGCTTGGCGCGCTGGAGCTCAGCTTCCTCTCGGAACTCCTTTTGAACCCGGCGTTCCTCTTTCTCGCGAGCCTGACTGATTTTGAGTTCCGCCAGCTCTTGTCGAGCCCGCTCTGCCTCATAATCCTCTCGGGTCATGTAAGAGGACGAAGGTGACCGGGAATGAGACGAGTGACCACGGGAATGAGAACGGTGACGGCCGTGGTAGACCTGCATGTGGCGGTCGTCCTCGTCGTCGGACGAGTGCTCGTTGTAAATACGGTTATTGATAATCACAGGAGCCGGAGCCGGAGCGGAGATGGGAGCCGGAGCGGGGCCCGGTGGAGTGGAATGGCGCTCACGGGAACGCTCTCTTGATCGAGTGCGAGTGGTAATGACTGTGCGCTCAGGAGCCAAAAAGCTAGGCTGTTGGCCTGCTGACGGGTAGTAGTTCCTACTGGGTCTCGATCTCGCCTCGACATAGTGAACCTGTGAAGGCGACGGTGCCCGACGCCTCGAGACTCGTATGTCAAGGTCATCCGAGTCGGAATAGTAGCTGTTACTCATGGTGCCTGAAGCGCCGAACCGCTCAATCACGGCAGAAGTAAGAATGGTGTGGGCAACAGCCAAGAGTGAGAATCAAGGGCTCCGCCGCTAAGTACCTCTGTGAGCCTACAATATGGAAACGATGAGTGATATGAGAGAAAAGACCACGACGGCGAGCAACAAGAGGGGGAGACAGGTGGTTTAAGAAGAGTTGGGGGCGAAAGAGTACGACCCTATGGTCTTTTATGCTTTTTTTTTTTTTGGCTTAGGGTACTAAAGTAAGGTAAGAGCTGAAGGGGGGCGACGTGATGCGCGACATGAGGTGGTGGTCGCCGGTCGGTTGGCTTACATGGTAGAAAGGGGAGCCAGTGGTTGGATTGGCCATAGTGCGAGGATCGAGCCAAGTGGAGGGGATGGCCCACCAGGCCGAGGAGGGAAGCTAAGCGACCAGGTTAGGAGAGGGGTTTGTACAGGATGGCAGGGCCTGGGGTTCCAACACCGTCCGAAGAGGGAGCCCAAGGTAAGGGTAAGCGTGATTTGAACGGAAATGCTGAGGTAAAGGAAGGTAAGGTAGGGTACCTACCTCATGAAGTTGCTGTGAATGGAGGGGGCTGTGATGTGGGAGCGGCGTCGCGGGGGGAGGGAGGGATCGCTAAGGTAGGTAGTTTGAGATGGAAAGAAAAATGAGGTGGTCTAGATAGGCGGACGCCAACGCCGCAGGATCCTATGCCGGCGTCATAAATTACAGCCCATGGTCAATGAGTATCAGGCGTGCGCGCCTAGTATTTTGAGCCTGGCATCTTGGAGGAGAACGCAAGACCAGAAACATTCACCTCGAGATGGTGTACCTACCTTCCTCAGTGACGCCTGCATCTTCCATCTGTCGGTGTATCGGGAGGAATGGCGGGGCAGTCAGCATCGGCAAGGCACGGGGCCGATGGTTCATTCGTCGGTTCATCCGCACAATGGATGGATGACTGCCATCCCACCTGGGGGGTGAGGCTACGCCGATACGGATACCCTAGTTCTGAATAGGTACTGCGTACGGAGTACTGGGTGCCTCCTTGACCTGACCTTCGTAGTTCGGCGCAGGGTGGCAGGTGGCAGGCATGGCAGGGGAGGCACGCAGATATCCTCCCATTCGAGGCCCGAAACGGCTTAGCCTAATGTCGTAGGGCTGCGCGATTGCTGACAGAGTGGGTTCATCGGTCTGTACACTACGGAGCACCTACGGAGTGAGTACCTAAGGTACCTTAGGAGTAATCGTGCTGACCTACCTACTACCTAAGGCAAGGTAAGGGAAGGAAAGGACAGGTTACCTACTCCGTACACGGTTGGGCTTATGGTAAGGTACTATAGCTAACCTCACCACATGGCGCCTTGGTACGAGTAGATGCGAAATGGGTAAGGTAGTCAGTCCTCTCAGAGCATTACTTGCTGGAGTACTTTGTCAGACCCTACCTTACCTTTAGTGTAGGTACCTAGGGAGGGCAGGCACATGTTGTAGGTAGGTATTCGTAGATGGCACTGCAAATCCCTTGTGGGGTCAGAGTCTTCACCCCCCGGCCCCGGCACCCCGGCCACCCCCTCACTTCCGAGTCCTCGAGCGATGAGCAGCAAGCCCTCACTAGGTATCTCCAGCAAACTGTCAACCATCCATCAACCCACCTTATCAGGCAGCCGTTTTTTTTTTGCCCAGACATGGCATCCTGCGAGAGCAGTCTGGCTGGCGCAGTGAAACATTTCACTCAGACCATCGATTCCTTGCCCTAGGTAGTCAAACGTGGGCCAACATAAGGTATCCCTTTTCGCGGCTGCCTGCGTACCCAGGTAATTATAGCAGCCCGAACCAGCTCGTGTACCCTCAAGTACCAACGGGCCAGGCCTGAGCCACCAGAGCTGAACCTCAGCCGTCGAGTCTTACCTTACCTAAGGTATGGTAGGTGTACACATACAGTACCACGAGAGGGCTGACCGCTGGTAATCCAGAAAATCAGGGGAGACAATCAAGGTAGCTTTGATGGGACCGTTTTTCTTTTTCTTTTTTAGAAGCTGTTGGCGGCAAACTCGCATCAGTCGCATGGTCTGCTGGACGTCTACCGGTATGATGTTGCCACACTTTACCACAGTCTAGGCCCTTTGCAGGCCCAGAGCGATTAGATTATTATATCATCAAGGCAGGAAAAATGGACAGAAAACGGCTACGTCGTTCTAAGGTACGCTTGAGTGTGCCCAAGACTGCGGCAGTTGTCAAAATGCCCCACCAAAGTCTTATTCTCCCACCCAAACAAGGCCCATCTGCTCGAGACGAACAAACGCACGAAACCGTTCCATTGGAACTTTGCCGACGTGTGAGAGGCGCGGCGCCTAAATCATTGGCACACGTCGTAGACACACCAGGGACACTCGCTCCTCTTCCTCCAACTGTTGGCAATAATAAACTTGAGACCCAGCTTCCACGTCTTGTCAGTGCGAGCGAGTACCTCGTCCCGATCTTCAGTCACCTCACAAAGCCATCATTGATATGAGTCGTTACCTTATGCTGACACGCATGAATCCAGCTCCGAACCGCAAAGAGTGTTTTTCGTCCTCCATCACCGCACCGTTACTTGCACCTTCATGTCTCGAGCCAATTCCAGCTGGGGTCGAGTCGATGCCCGACAAGAGAATCTCCAGACGACGCTGGCATCAAGTGATCACGAATATGCACACGCACTTTGTTCCCACCGCATTGCGAACGATCGCTTGAGAAAATACGTCTTCAGATGCTGAACTACCCGTACTCGGAGCCGCAGAAGTGCTTATCAACTCGGTGACGCTTGTCGTCCCGTCCCGATGCTCAAAGATTATTGCATGGGAAAACACTCCACCTCCGCCCCCCTCTTCCGTTGTCCATGAAGGAATACGCTCCTGACCCCATCATTTGGCTCCCCTTCCCTCTGGCCTCTTACAGCATCTGCCATCATGACTGCGCCTTGAGCATCTGGTCAATGTGCTGCCGGCTATTCTTGTACGTTGTCTCCAGGTAGTGCAGCTTCTGGCTCAGCTTCTCAACCTCGCCCTCCCTATCCTTAATTTGGCCCTCCAGCTTCTGTGTAAGCTGCGGGGTGGGCAACGCGACGAACCTTTTCCGGCCCCGAGGCTCGGCGTCAGCAATATAATCCATAGACGCCGGTCCAATTACTCTTGGCTGCAGCCGCTTCGTCATCCGACATCCGTCAAACACGGAACTTGGCTGCAGCGCACACAATAAGAATATGGGTCAGCAGGGAATTTACGTACATCTTGCCGACACCTTCGTAGACGTTCAAATTTGAGGGCAAGGTGGAAACCTCATCGAGCGTCAGACGGACCATGCGCATTTCTCGTTGCTTTGCCGTCATTTGTGTGCGTGCCTGGCCAATCTGCTGCTGGGCCACGATGGCTTGGCTTTCGATCTCTCGAATAAGCTAGGCAGATACACATGTGAGTAGGCGGCAGCTAAAGCGCAGAAAAGGGACCAAAGGCACAGGGTCCCATCGTTGTTGTCCTCTCACCTTTTCAAGCGCTTGGTTCGGGATAGACATGTTGACTTGATGTAAGAATGAGACGGTGTCTAGGGGGCCACGTTGGATCGGTGCCCCTGACTTTGGCAAGTTGCTCTTCCTAGCTCAGACGATAAAGCTGCCGCGGAGGAGATTGGGATTTTCGCGATTGAATCCAGTGTCGCTGGCGACGATGTTGTGGGCAGGCTGAGGCGTGAGATCGCAACTAAGGTATGGGAAGGGGTTTTCGTTTGGCTGAAGCTCGCGACAAGGTGGGGGTCGGTAGTGAATGGTAACTGCGTGCACCTTTGGTGTGTGATTGACTGATTTAGAAAGGCGGTATCTTTACGGATACTATCCCATACCTACTTTTGCTTTAAGGCACTCCTTGCCTAAGGTACCGGGGGTACGTCCCAGTGGAGAAAGGCTTTCAGTGAGATATGCAGCAAGCAGAATATTTCCAACACATTATGCATTTACCGCTGCGTCACGTTCGCTGGCTCCGCACTTACATTACCCTAACTACCGCGTAGGGTACCTAAGGTGAGGTAGATGAATAGAAGAAAGCATACACTTCCTTTCATTTTGCACAAGGTCACACGAGATCTAGATTTTGTGTTTGGTTCAAATCGTTTGCAATTGATGGGGCATCTATAGTATGCCGTAGGTGCAGGCACACATTATCCTGTCATCTGCGTCCAGAAGTGCTGGCTGTTGGATATATCTGCCAATGGTTCTAGGTAAAGGCCCTGAAGGTGCTTGTGTTTTACTTGCCTTAAGAATGCGCGGCTGCTGTCGCCAAGCCCTCGGTCGGGGTGCCTGTGCAATCTTACCTTGAACGGCTGCCGATTGCCTGTCCATCATTGATGTCCGAAGTCCTCAGTCCGACTTCTCTGCTTTGACCACTAGCGGTATCGACGAAAGTGACCTTGGCCATACGAGTTTGTACTCATCTTCACGGCCTTCGAGACATCTGCGCAGCCATATTCCCCATGTGATGTAGTAGTAAGCTATAACTCATTAGCACATGTCGGAAATGGGAGTGCCGTATGTTCTCTGTCCCATACCTCCTATGCATCACGTTAGCAACGGCATTGGTAGAAATGACAGTACCGCTCCAGTCGAAATACGTACCAACACCTGTCATTAAGTGCCACCAAGCATGACCCTCTAGCAGTGCGCCCCAAGGCAGACCAAGCTGTCGTCGCCATTGCCTTATCTGGCTGCAGAAGGCATTGTCAATATTCCAAATGAGAAACCCCATGAGGAAGACACTTAGTCCTAATCAATCATGTCAGCATAGTAGAACAACGAGCATGGCTTGGGGCCGTTCCAAACAACCTGTTCCTACCATGATCCACATGGTGTTGAGAATGAGATTGGCCTTGTCCTTGTTTCTCCGTGCCAGGACTGGCCGCAGTTGCGTCTCCATAACATACAAGCTGCGTAAAACAACCTGCGCAGCATCGGTCAGCATTCCGACGAAGAAGGCACCTGAGAGGTGAGTGAGTTCAAAATATTACCGTTGCCGTCAACGCCGCATAGCAGGCCTGGTGGAAAGCCGGATCTTTGGTGATGTGGTAGTAGGACTTTTGTACAATAGTCAGAACTTTGGGTTCTCACACTCATCGCGCCATGGATGATACTGATTTAGGATCTACACACCGTAATAAGGCCAGCCAGGAGAACGAGACCACCGCCTAACAAAACCGAAAATCTGCTAGACTTTGAGAATGAAAACGTTGCAAAGACCATGAGACACGTGGTGTATATCATCGACAGCTCGTCGATAAGCTGCATGGGGTCTAGGCAAGTAAGTTTGTCAGTTCAGTAGTCCGTGTGCAGGTAGCAGAAGATGTAATGGGCGAGGTGCGAGGACGAACACTTCAAGGATGTGTGGAAGGCCGTAGAGCCCAGTCCAACAATAACGTATCCGAGATATGCTACTAGGAAAATACGTGGGTGACCCTGAGATACGCAATTATGTACGCCTTTGTAGCCAAGCCACAGGAATAGGAGGTTGGTCAAGGTCTTTCAGAGGACCAAGTTAGCAAAAACAATAACTGACTGAAGCAGGAGAATCTAGTAGTAACTTACATTGCAAACTTCAGCACAGTAGTAAGAAACTACGTAATCCTGTGTCGATAAACGTAACCAGGGGTCAGCAACACCAAGGATGGCGAAGAGCTGTCACACCGGTGGACGATGTAATTCTCACCTCTTCGCAAAAATTCAGAGTTGAAGTCTTTTCTCCCCAGTAGCCCTCTGGGGTATCATCATTGTACGCCACACGCAGGGCCTGGAACAGTGGAGATGAAGCCATTTGTGACGAACAACCTTGGCCAGATCAAACCGGGCCAGCGAGACAGGAGGCAGAGGGAAGTGAGCAGCTGTTTCCTCGGCTCAAATGGGCCCTGGCTCGAAATAACGCAGATTGCAGCTTTGATGAGAGAGAGAAAAAGGGTTGTGCCGGTAATTTTACCACGGTTGCAGAGAATGTGAAGGAATCCGAGTGTTCCAAAAAGGTCTTTTAAACTTTCCGTCTACGTGTTCCGAGCGGCGCCGGAGACACAAAGGTGAGAAAGCCGAACCAAGGCGCGCGCCCGGTAGACACGGAGAATACGAGAGAGAATATGGGAGCGAGAGAAGGAGAGAAGGAGAGAAGGAGAGAAGGAGATGGGGGATATGAGTAGGGGGAGTACCACTAGACTCGTGGAAAGTACCGGGTCGCTCGGAGGCAATTTGAATCAGTCAGTATCTTGCGACAGACTGGGCCAGATTCCGCCAGTTGACCTCTTGTTGCAGTGTAGAGATACCGGCAGCCACAGGCACTTTGGTTGGTACTCGAAGAGATGGGAGGTATTGCAGGTTGCAAGTAGGGGAGGGTTGTCTTGGACTAATTCGTGGCCCTGCCCGTTCGTTGTCTGATGTTTGGAAATCTGCGGCATGAGAGCACGACGGGCCTGTAGCCTGCAACCTTTGCGCGAGTGGGAAAGAAGACGCACTACGATCAACGTTAGTGATTATGGATTTAGATCCTATGGTATAGAATGAATCCTGTCCATAAACCGACGAAGATGGCAAAGACACTCCATGGTACCTCGTTGGTTCCAAGTTGCAGACACGACTCGGTTCAGCTCCGGTGGACGTTCCGGGGCCCCCGTGGAGGATGACGTACCTTTACCTCTTGCAGCCCCTACCGGAACGGGGTGGATGCATAGGTATATGCACGTTATTCGCATGGATAATCTCGAGTTGGAGGCTCCCATAAAGTCATTTTCCTGCTTACTTTCATGGCCACTGAAATGAGAATTCCAAAATTTAGTAGTTGGTGTTGTGTTGATAGTAACGCAACGCAATGGCCATCTTCCCGACCGTTACAAACGCAAATGATCTATCTTGGAGAGTATCTAGTCCGCGTCAAGTCATAACTTGCGTTATTCTTCGCGTACAAGGTCTCCATAGAACGCCATTAGCCATCCTAGCAAAGGACCCTTGCAGGAAAGGTATGGGCTGTATAGTGTACTCCGTATACCCATCATGTCGTCTTGATGAATCCGCGCCATGGAGCTAATGACCGTGTGGCCGGGAACATGATGGCTCGCAGAACCATAGTATCACGACCTGGGGTAGAGATGTGCCAATTTGGGTCACATCAGACTATTCTAAGGTGCCTCACTTGAACCAAAGGCAAATTCCAATGTAATACCAGAGCTGCACACCCGGCTTAGTGAGGCGCCCAGCGTGAAACGGTCACCCCTCCTTAAGCCAGATCTTCGCGCTGTAGGAACTGTGGTTTTCTCATCTGCTCAAGTGTTAGTGCCGTGTGTACTCTGTACGGAGTACCTTACCTCCCTGCTTTGCCACGACCCGACATGGAACAACTGCGCTTTGCCCAACCTAAATAAACGATATTGCTCCAGCTCCCTTACATGCCACGTTGGTTGTCCATACGAGCATTCTTTGTCTACACACCTGGCACAGAAAACTAACACGTCCAACCTTCCACTTCTTCTCAGCCGACCGACGCTCAACCCGATTACTAGCTGCCGCGCTGTACTGCACTGCTTTTCTTCCCGCAACTGGCCCACCTCCTTCAGCACCACGGATCCAAAAGCTTTTTGCTGTTATTCGTCACCGAACGCGCAACCTCCACACTTTCTTGTCGACTACAGGGAAGACAGTCGACTCTCCCTCCTGCGAGTCGGTAGCACGGCAGCTCGATTCGATCCCATTGTATCACGATCTCAGGAAGCGTACTCGAAATGTTCATGACCTCCGAAACACACAACAGCCACGAGGCATAGCCCAGCCGTCTTCGTTTCTAGGTATCCAGAACCGATACAACAGCCGATCGTCATTATGGCAGCTCCCGCAAAGTCGACGCGTTGGGGCTCTTTCCTCCAGCAGGCTGTTGCCGGCGTCGAGGCCCGCCTCGATAACATGCTTGCTGAGGGAGAGAATGGAGCTATCCCGCCGCCAGCTCCCCAGTCTGCTACGGCTTCTACCACGGGCCCCTCCAAGGACCAGCAAATAAGTAAACTGCCCCCCTCTCTGTGGCTCGAACCGTCATGGTATGATACCACAATAATGGCACTGACCATATCTACATCAGGCCAGCCTCGATCCTCAACGAGCAGCCGTACCAACGAACGCCTACAAGAGCGTCTTGCAAAGGCCATTGCCGCTAAAAACACTCAGCCGTCCGACGCTCGTAGCGTAACACCAGACTCTCAGAGTGCTCGACCGAGCGCTGATGGCGGTCGTCCCGGAGTCGGTACGCTTCAAAAACGGGGTGCCGATGCCCCTAGCCCGGCAGACACTCCAGCGCCGGCAGCAGTCACGAGTGAGGCCGCCGTACCCAATAACACCACGCAGGACGAGGGCGATGTCGTTGGAGCTCCCAAAGAAGATCCCCTGGACAGCCAGCGAGCTCCGAATTCACCAGAGAGGAACCGAGACCCAGAGGCTCAACAAGATAGTGCTTCTGCCGCCCCCAGTCAACTACCAGAACTCGAGACAGCCACCATCTTAAGTGGCAACCGTCTCGAATGCAAGGATTGTGCGGTACTTCATGCACAGATCGAGGCTCTGGAAGCTAGGGCAGAACAGTCAGCAAAGGAGCAACAGGAGGAGATGCATCGCCATGTCGAACAATTTGAGTCCATGCAGGCAAAGCTGCAATTCCTGGCACGGGATGCTACAGACGCCGCACGAACGTCTGCGGCGGCGGCAACTGCGGGGAGTCACGAGCGAATACTTGCTGAAAGGGACATGAAGATTACGGCTCTCATGGACGAAGGCCGGAATTTGGCCGCTACGGAGCAGAAACATCGGGCCATTATCAGGAAACTCAGGGCGCAGATCGCAGGCGACGAGAAAACTTTGGGAGAGCTGCGTGCTCGTCAAGAAAAGCTGACTGCTGACATGGAAACCCTCCGCCCCCGAGCCAGCCGCGTTGAGGAACTGGAACAGTCGAACCAAGAATTGCAGATCAAATCCAACGGAATGCAAGATGAATTAAGCGCGTTGCGCGCTGAAGTGTCAACTAACAAATCAACAATGCAGAGGCTACGGGATGATCTCCGGAGAGCCTCTGACCAGGCTACTTCCGCTGTAGGTAAAGCGAACGAGGAGGCGCTGACTGCGGAGAAACGTCGCGTCAAAGACCTTGAAGATACCGTCGCTGCATTGCAGCTGGAGCGAAGCCTAATCGCTGGCCGGGCAAAGGAAAGTGCAGCAGAGGCAGAAGCAAAAGCAGAGCGCGCCGCCGAACGCGTCCGTACCAAGGAACTCGAGATGAAGGCAGAGCTTCAAGCAATGGAGGGGAAGCTGGAGGCTATGCGTGCGCTAGCGGAAGAGGCGTCCTCTGGCGCCGTGGGTGATCCTCAAGTCAAACTTTTGCGTCAAGTGGAAACCCTGCAGACGCAGCATGCCATTGCGGCCGAGAATTGGCAGGGTATCGAGGCCAGTCTGGTCGCAAGAGTAGCCAACCTTGAGCGCGAGAGGGATGATGCTCTGCGACGCGAATCAGACATGCGGAAAAAGGCTAGAGAGACTGTAAGGCACATTACTATTCCTCCAGACCATATACTGGAGCTTCTGTCATTGAGTGTCATTATTCTAAGCAATTACAGGCAACCCGATGCAAACGCCAGGATGAGGAGCTCCAAGAGCTCACGAGCAGGTTTCCCAACTATCAACGGGATATCGAAAGTGTTCAAGCTCGTAATGAGACGCTGCAGAAAAGAGCAGAGAGCGCTGAGGCAGCGCTATCTCAGGCGAGGCTCGACCTCGAAAAGCAGCAAGCAGCTTGGAAGACTGAAAACATCGAGCCCGACCGTCGGCCTTGGCTGGAAGACCACTTACCCGGTCCTGGATCTAGGGTTCAGAGTCGCCCAGACTCACCCTTGCTCTCCGTACCTACGCGTACGATGAGTAATGACCTGCTACTTCTGCACAGCGTATCTGGTAAGGGTCGCAAGATATCTACCCCAACTAGTGGAACAGACGGCTTCCAAGAGGGTTCACAGCTAGGGAGAAGACTGTCAAGCCAGCCTCCAGTAAGACCGTCCATGCTACCCAGCGGCTCCAACTTACCCGTTGCACCTTCCATTACTTCGTTTGAGTTGCCTCCAGACTCGTTGCCTACGCCCACATCGTACGCAGGCGACAAAGACGACTTGTTTGACGGCGTAGAAACATCGTCTTCACCTCGCCAAATGATGCAGGATATGGTTTCCGTGTCAACAGTTGGTGCAGGGCCTTCGGTGCAGCTGGTCGAAAGAATGAGTGCGGCCATCCGTCGTTTGGAAGCGGAGAAAGTAACATCCCGGGAAGAGCTGGCGCGTATATCGGGACAAAGAGACGAAGCTAGAGCCGAGATTGTTTCGTTAATGAAGGAACTGGAGTCGAGTAAGACGGCTTCAAAACGGGTGACCGAGTTGGAGGGACAGGTTGATGATTTGAACTCGAGATACCAGACAACACTAGAATTACTCGGGGAGAAGAGCGAGCTAGTAGAGGAGTTGCGGGCTGACGTGCAGGATGTCAAGGCCATGTATCGCGACTTGGTAGAGCGCACAATTAGATAAAGGAATAATAATAAGTGCTGAGCACACTAAGCAAACAAATTCTTCATGCGATTGTCATTTGCTGCGAGTCAATGTGAGAGTGTATTCTCACCACTGCCCTAGCCGGGGAGGCGAAATACCGGATGCTATTCCTGTGGCTAGCTCAGCTAAATCATAGCTCTATGCCCTCCTCCTCGGCAGCGCGTTCAATGAATCGGCGGACCTACAAAGGCTCTCGAGCCCCCAGGTTAGCCAATCTAATTTGTGAAGCACAAAGTCTGTCGAGCTAATATCATCACGTACTTCCTTGTCAGGGGCCAGATCTAAAGGTAGACACCCATCATTGTCCTTTTTATTGATCACGGCGCCAGCTTTTAGTAAAGCTACCGCTGTGTCACCTGATATAGAATGTCAGTTGTAGTTTAAATCGCATAGCTGAGGCTCGGATCGAGGCGCACCGTGGCCCTCAGCAACAGCATGGTGCAGGGCAGTGTAGCCAGAGGCGTCGGTGGCATTGAGAGGGCTCCCGTGTTTGATCAGAAGTGCCACCATCGGAGCTGAGCCTATTGCGGCAGCCCTGTGTATGGCATACTGACTGCGTTTGTCGCGGATCCTGGTGGACGCGGGCGGGTCGTGGCCCAGAAGCTTCTTCGCAACGTCTAAGTTGTTTTTTGATGCCACAAAGTGCATAACACTCTGTGTTTAACCCGAATTAGATCCTGAATGGGGGTGAGGGTAGCAGCGGAAGCTCTCTCCTACTTACCTGTCCGTTATGGTCTGGAGCATGCAAATGATAATCAGAAGGGTTCAAAGTTTGGGGCACAACAAGCATAATGAGAATATCTTACTCTTCAGGTTGACATCAGCGCCTTTTTGAAGAAGTAGATTGACGAGATCTTCGCCGTCTTTAAGGCTTGCAGAGATCATCAGCGGCGTCCAGCCGCTGCCATCCTGAGTGTCGAAGGTTGAGCTTAGTGTGTGATTCACAGCCAAGTAGAAGGTTGACAATCATGAGACATCCTCAAAGCAAAGCCTCCCAGGCACCTCACTTACTTGGACATCAGGGTCAAAGCTACGACTCTGCGTAAGTAGAATGACAATGTCAATGCAGTTGGAGGACGCGGCCCAGTGTATGGGAAGCCTGCCGTCATCGTCTTCTCGTGCAGCAAGCTTGGGTTCTGTCTACAGCACGATGTCAGTGAATGCATATTCCTAGCGTGGCCTGAAACTTCAAGCTACCTTGAGTATGGTTTCTGCGATGGAAACTGCAAGTCCGGTTAGCCGCAATCCTAAGACATAATTCCGAGGAGCAGAGCGACGGCTGCTGCCTTCTTAGCAGAGTAAGTACCTTTGCCCTCGCGAGCTGCAGTATGGAGAGGAAACCTGTCCTGGGCCTCTGTCATCCTGACTATGGCCTTCTAGCTGAGGTTTCCGAACGTCTTGTGATGGTGACCAGTGGTTGCTGGCGTGCTCTGTTACGAAGATGAATATTGGTACGTGAAGCTGATGATGTTGGGGGTCAGATCGCGGGGGAAGTCAATTTCGGTGAGAGACGAGCTCAAAGTTGTATGCAAAATTAGGCCGTAAGTACTCCGTACTTGGGAGAATAGTCAAACACAACCCCGACGGAAACCTATAGTACCAGGAAGCCGAATGCAGAGGGGGAAGGACCTGTTATCGATTAGAATTTCCGCGTGTTCTTTGCTCAAAATGAATATTGAAAGTCGAGGAGGGCAGTTGTTGAAGTAGCCAAGAGGAGACAAGAACATAATTACTCAGTAATGCAACTGATGGAGCTCACACAGAGGTCTAGGGACATTGCCCAGCGAGAGAAGCTAGGTGATAGGTGAGATCTAGGTTCCTAGGTAGGTAGATACAACTAGCGAGGCTAAGGTACCTTACCTTATACCTTACCAGCTACATCACGCTGCAGAGAACCGAGAGTTCGTCGTATAATCACGGAGTGACTTCTCGCAGAAATATACATGACCATGGAGCTCTCGATAAAGTAGCGTCGTGAAGGCTTATTGCTCAAAGTGCCAGATTCCCTGAAGCCTGATAGTGCCTACCTTACTCAAGGCAAGGTACTCTACGTAAATACCGTTAGTTAGGTAAGGTAAGGTAAGGGAAGGTAGGAGCGCACGCTGGTACCCACCTACCCGGCGCTACAGGTATGTACCCACTCAGACCAACGCTGATTCAAGACTCTGGCGCGTCAGTCTTTTTCCAATGCATCCCATCTCATTCCGCCGCACCGCGACGCAACACAATAACTCTTCAGCATTTGGCGCATAGACAAGATCGTCGTATCAACGCAAATTCAACCAGAACGCGCTTCTTCGATATTTCCGCTTCATCATCCCAGTCAGGCTGCCACTGCGATGGGAGCCGCTATGGCTGAACCGACGGCGCCCTCGTCCGACACCACCCCTTTAAGGTCCCTCCTAGACGGCAATCAGAAGACGACCCGAACCATTTACTCCCAGGCTCCCGGTCTCCCCTCCAGGAAACGACAAAGGACTGAGCCTAGCGACCCATCGGACGAGAAGCCCAGCGACGAAACGAGTACCGATCGCCGCTTCAGACTCGAATACTTCGGTGTTCAGCAGCTTCCACCAGCTCTTGCTGCTAAGCAGCCCGCTCCCACCAAAGCACGGCGAATCAAGGCACACTCCAAGCCAGAGCAGGCTCTCGTCAGACAAAACTCTGCACAAAAGCTTCTTGAGGGCCCCAATGGACCCGGCCTTGGCGCTCCTTCCGTCAATAATGAAGGACCCGGCGCCAAAGACAACAACTCCCAGCTTTCCCAGCCCACAAGTCTGACTCGAGCAGGCGCGTCAACTCCTCACGGCGCCAGGCCTGAGTGGCATCCGCCATGGAAGCTAATGAGAGTCATTTCTGGTCACTTAGGATGGGTTCGGAGCTTAGCGGTCGAGCCAGGCAATAAGTGGTTTGCAAGTGGTGCTGGCGACAGGACTATCAAGATCTGGGATTTAGCCACCGGCTCCTTACGCCTGACTCTGACTGGCCATATATCGACCGTCCGTGGGCTCGCCGTAAGCCCGCGCCACCCTTATTTGTTCTCTTGTGGCGAAGACAAGATGGTCAAATGCTGGGATCTCGAGACAAACAAGGTTATCCGCCACTACCATGGCCATCTAAGCGGCGTCTACACACTTGCTCTTCATCCTACCTTGGACGTACTGGTAACTGGTGGTCGAGACGGTGTCGCAAGAGTCTGGGACATGCGAACCCGAAGCAATATTCACGTGTTATCTGGCCACACCGGGACTGTATCGGACGTCAAGTGTCAAGAGGCTGATCCTCAGGTCATGACCGGCTCGCTGGACGCAACAGTGAGACTCTGGGATTTGGCTGCCGGAAAAACAATGGGTGTCTTGACACATCACAAAAAAGGCGTCAGGGCCTTGGCCACGCATCCCTCGGAGTTTACGTTTGCTAGTGGTAGCACGGGAAGCATCAAGCAGTGGAAATGTCCCGAAGGAGCCTTCATGCAGAACTTCGACGGCCACAACGCCATCATCAATACGCTCAGCGTTAACCAGGAAAACGTGCTGTTTTCGGGTGGCGATAATGGCTCCATGAGTTTCTGGGACTGGAAGACAGGCCACCGCTTCCAGGCTTTAGATACTACGGCACAGCCGGGGTCCTTGGACGCCGAGGCGGGCATCATGAGCTCTACATTTGATCGCTCCGGGCTGCGTTTGATTTGCGGTGAGGCTGACAAGACGATCAAAATATGGAAGCAGGATGAGAAGGCGACGCCTGAGTCGCACCCCATTGTTTGGCAGCCAACACTGGCCAGACGCAAGTACTAGATACTAGCACAGGATCCATGTAAAATACGATTAGCTCGGAAACCCCTGCCTTACCTGTCATTAATAGATACCCGACCCCAAAGCCTGCCTGCATACGAACCTATAGTACAGACAGTAATCTAGAAAAACAAGCCCAAGGCTTTTACTTCTCCATCATCTCGAAACGCCATCTTGACCTCCTCATCACCCACAGCAAGACGCACCTTGCTTGGTCGCTCCGATTTATGCGCTTCTAGTACAATGATGCCAGCGCCCATTAGTTCGAGCGCCGCCTGAGGAAGCGCCAAGGACTGGACTACTCGGATACTGCCATTGCCTTGGCCGCCATCGCCTCCTGGTGGCCCCGTCGATAGAGCCCCGAGGACGGTGGATTCGAGATTCGCTGTGTCCAACTTGATGATGCGGTGTAGTTCATCCACTACATCGCCAAATGTCGTCTCAGCAGTGCCGCTTCTTTGTATTCTGACTAGTAATGCGCACAAGAATAGCTTGGGTCCGAAAGGTAGAGACCGAAGGTATTGTTGGACAGGGTTAGTCGTGGCCTCGTTGATGGCACGTTTGACCGTGGCGATAGTAACTTTGACTGGTGCTTCTGTTGGTCTACCTTTGCTCGGGGTTGATCGTCGTGCCTCGGGGTCGCCTGCAAGTGTCTCAACACGGGTATCGCCTTCGGCGAGCTCTACAGCTCGTCTACAGATGTCCAGGGCTCTTCTTGCATCGCCGCTTACTGCAGCCACCTTCCGGCTGGCGAATTGAATAGCGTCCGCCTCCACGATACTTCCGGGCACACACTCCAGCCTAGACTGAATAATCTTCATGAGTTGTTCATGGTTATAGCCTGGGAATGTGATTCTTGTCAAGCCTGGCTTTTCACATCAGCTTGGAACACTTCCGCATTATGCATGCATATGACTCACCTATGCGACTACTGATTTTGTTACTCAGAGTTCTCTCCGGAAGGTCCATGGTATTCGCAACGGCTAGGACAATGAGCCTGCTATGTCGAAGGCCAGGCCAGTTGAAAAAGTTGTACATGACGCTCTGGTTCTTCGTCACCAGCTGGTCCAGTTCATCCATCAGAACAACGCATGGCGTCCGGCGAGGACTTGGATTGTTGAACTCTCTCTCTAAAAGGTCGATGGCTTGCGTAGGACTGACTCTCTCGCCTTTGAGTGCCTCCCACAGGAGGGTGTAGGACTGGTGAGGGTCGGTGATCTTCATGCCATTGATCTCTACGAATATGAAATCATCAAGTTCGTCGGCTTTCACGCTGTCCTCTAGGCGAGATATCACTTCTCGGACAGTGGCTGTCTTCCCGGTCCCTGGAGTACCAGCAATGTAGATACAGCTTCCTGAACCATCCGCAATGGCTGCCTCCAAGTGTGAATACACCAGATTGAACTCGCTCTCGCGGCAAGGCAGACTTCTTGGTACCGAGGCAACGTGGAGCTGGGAACGAGCCAGCTGAAAAGGCGAAGACTGCAAACGCTTTGGCGACAGTTTCCTCGTACCTAAAGGCGTAAACTCAAGCGTCTTCTTCACCACGATCCTACATGAACACGGCCTGTTAGGCGAGGCGCCTAGTGAATCAGGTATGGAGCAGACACATACCGTTTACGAGACCCAGGTGTTGTCGTTATCCGGGTATCTCCCTTGGGCGTTGAATGTTCGGCCTTCGGGGTTCGTTTGGGTGTCGATGCACCCGCCAAACGATCTGAGGTCATCTTGTACGACTGCTCTGGTGTTGATTGCCTCGCTGCCTGGCCATGTCGCGTCGATTTTGTATGTGATTTGACGAATCCGATCAGGTCAGAAACACCCTGCTCACTCGCGTGATACACTTCTTCCCACACAAACTCATCTGTGTAGGTTGCTGTTCTTGTGTTACATGCGCGACGGCAGATGAAGGTCTTACCGAAATCGGGTGACGATCGAGGTATTTTACCCGACGGATACCTTTGGTGAAAGGCTTGGTGAGAGATAACGACGGCTGTGCCGTTGACAGCGGCGAGCGGATTTACATCCCACGAAGGTGAGATGTACAGTTCATTCTAGATAACTCAGGAGTAAGCATCTGCACCATCAATCAGCCTAGCCCGGATGACATACAGGCAGGAAATCCGACCGTTTCCTCTCCTTGTTACGGATTTCCTTTTCTGTCGAAAACCACATGAAGTTGGCGGCCTTTTCGCCATCCTCTTCTTCTAAAAATTCGCAGACTACAGCGACCCAGGCCTCGTTGGAACCTTCCGCCTTCAGTAGAACACAGTCGCCAACGTAGCACTCAAATTTGCCCATTCTGGCTCCCATGATCCGCGCCTCGGTGTTGGCTCTCCTCCGCTTCCGAGAGGTTTGGGTATCGTCGCCATGGTTCTCTGCGGTATGAGGATCATTGGACTCGAGAATCCATTCCCACGGAAGATCATCTATGCCAAGCTCATCATCCGAGTCGTCCCTGATAACGCCTGTAGACTTTTTTGACTGACGACGCCCTCGCGGAGCTGTTTGGGGCGCGGAAACACCCATTGAGAGCTACAATGAGATGCTGCAGTAGAGAAACTCATTGATTTAGCTAGTCAACCGATGCACTGTTGTCCGTGGCGAGAGACCTGTGATTTAAAGGGGAGGATAAGCAACTCAAAGTACGTAGACTTCAACCAACCACGCATGTACGGGTACTTCGTGCACCAGGGACAGGTGTGGGGGCAGATTCACGGCACTGTGCACTATGCCCTATACGGATGCTTTTAGGCCTAAAAGTTAGTTATTATTTGTTTTTCCTTTCTGTCTTTGCTCGTATCTCGGGCGGTTCTTAATATTTTTTATAAAGTATTAGGTTAATTATAAAGGTTAAAGGCGGCCCTTAACTATAAAAGTTCTAAACTTTAATAATAAAAGGTTTTTTTTTAAAAAAAAAAATTAAAAAATAAGTAAAAGGGGTAATATCTAGTTACTTATTATATTTTATAAAGATCTCTTTTATTTTTATTACTTTTTATATTAATTATAAACTATATTTAATTTAAACTAAATGAATTATTAAATAAATTTATTAATATATTTATTTTAACCCTTTAAGGTCTAGCCCGCCTCATTAAGGGCTATCTTTATCTTTACGGGCAAGTTAGTCTATTAAAATAAATATTATATATTACTATATAATAAACTTTAAAACTAATTATATTTAATAGCCGGATATAGCTATTAATACTAACTAAATTTAAAATATTAATAACTCCGCTATAATATATTAATTGCTTTTTAAATAGCTAAAAACTACCCCTTACTTTCTCTTTTTTAAGTCGATATTATAAATATAATATTTATTAAAGTAATATCTCTATATATCTAGGTTATTTAATATAATATTTATAGGATCGAACTTCTAGTTATTAAAAAAACCTTAAAAGTTAATAAGTTATTAGCGTCTCGGTATTTCGATATATACTTAAAGTAAACGATTCAATAGCGATAATAATAATAATATTATAATAATAATAAATAGTAAAAGAACCGTTTTTTAACTTTAATAAAAAAAGAAATAATAAATATATATATAGTGGTTTTTTTCTAGCTTTATAAGTATAAAAAATCGATCTTAATAGGATTAGGCTTTTAAAAAAAATTATATATTATAATATACTTTTTAATTATATAATATATATAATATACCTTAAGTATGCGCTTAATTTAATATAATAATTTTAATATAAAAATCGCTATATAATTCGGGATAAATAAGCTATTTTATATAGTAATAATAATTAAAAAAGTTAACTATAGAGGTCGGCTATAAAAGTTAATTATAAAAGTCGGAAGCGGCCCTTAACTATAAAGGTTTTAAACTTTAATAGCGATATAGAGGTTTTTTAAAAAAAAGGGCTAAAAGGGTTAATATTTAGCTATTTATATTAAAGCTCGTAAAGATTCTTTTTATTTTTATTACTTTTTATATTACTTATAAGCTTCTCTATTTAAACTAAATAAACTATTAAATAAACCTATTAAATAAACCTATTAAATAAACCTATTAAATAAACCTATTAAATAAACCTATTAAATAAACCTATTAAATAAACCTATTAAATAAACCTATTAAATAAACCTATTAATATATAAACTACTAGCTAAGTAACTAGTTAGATAACTAGTTAAAACTAGCTAAAAGTCCGGCTAGTTAAACTATATTAACGAGAATTTATTTGAATAATACCCCTTAATAAATCTACCCCCCTCGGACTAGGCCCCTTCTTTAACTAGCTTAACGCTATAACTATTATAACTAATATAAATACGTTTAAAAAATAGTAAAATACTTTTTAATAATATAAAATTTAACTAAATAATAGTATAAACGTTATAAATAGCTAGAATAACGTAATAAAAGGTCGGGAGCTATTAATAAAAAGGAGAAAATAGTTAAGTCGGTTAACTACTATTTTAGTTAATAGTTAGGTTTAGAGCGCAATATACCTAGTTTTCTTTAATATATAATACACGGTATAGCCCCGGCAGATTACTCTGTTAGGGGGATAAATGTATATATATATATAAATTAAAATTAAAAGTATACTAGATTTATTTTAATATTCTGCCTTTATATACTACTCGGGCAATTTTTAATATCGTTTATATAGTATAATTATATAATATTAATAAATACTTTTATTATTTTAATAAACTATTTTTTTTTTAGATTTCTTTTTACCTTTTTAACTTTCCTTTTTATAAAGTTTATAACTATAAATTAATTAATAGTAATATTAAAATATATAACGTATATAATAAGCGAGTAAAATAGATAAGCGAGTAAAATATAGAACCGCGACTATATTATTTTAATATAATCGGGCGCTTTTTTTTTATAATTTATTATAACGTATTAAAATAAAGAATTTAATATTTAGCTTACCTTTTAAGCTATTTAAAGTTATTTAAAACTAAGCGCTCGGGCTATAATTAAAATCTATTTAATTAATTATATTACGCTAATTTAATAATTAAAAAAAATACTATTATAACGTAATACTATACCGAACTCGCGCAATTTAATAGTTTTTAAAAAAAAAAAAGCTAGTTAAGTATATCCTCGATTTAGATTCCCGATTATTTCTTCTCTAGCTTCGTAATATTAAAAAAATAATAAATCGATTATTTATTAACTACGACGCGCTCTTTATTAAAAAGCAATAAACTTT